GTAAAATAAAAGGAAAAATTCTGGTTTTTTCATTTTAATTCAACATCTCAAAATTAAATAATATTACTATACATATATATATATATATATGAAATCATTTATGTCGAGTAAGAGAAAAAAAAAAAGATAAAAAGTTCGTTGATTGTTGTAATCGTTGGAGAAGGATACACGATCATCGAATAAAGAAGAAGACAAAGAAAATTCAAAGTCCATTAATGTGTGTGTGTGTGTGTATTGTGAACGCGAGATTATTACAAATATTTAATCTAATCTAATAGATTACTTCGAAATAATTGGCATACCGAAAAATATCGGATTAATCTTCCGACGATTAAAACGAGGAAAATTATGAATACGTGTTCATTGTTTGATCAACTTTTTTTTTTCGTATCTTTTTTTATTTCTTTCATTTCCAGATTTACATTATTAAAGGAATTCAAGGAGAAATAACGCAAATATAAAAATTACAATATTGCGTATCGAAAAAAGAAAAAACAAAACAGACAAACAATGGAAGTTTTAATACACGAGGCCTCGGACAAACGTGAAATTATCGATGGTACTTCTTCCGTTAATCATCATAATGACACCAATTTAAATGGCAATAAAATAACTACGTTGGATCGAAAAGAAAAGGATGAAAATGATTTAAACGTATCGTATGGGAAAAAAATTAACAAAATTAATTCGGTCGATATTATATTTGAAAACATTACCTATAACGTTCCACTTGGATTTCGAAAAGGTATGATGATAATATAATTATTTATTTTATTGTTAAATGATATAATGTGTTATAATATATACTTTGATTCGAACAAATATATATAATATGTTTTAATATTTTTTTTAATTTATACAACATACATGTATAATATATACAAAAGTAATAACTATATTGAAAGTATAATTATAATAATAAAACAAAATGTCTTCTTTGTTTGCAATCGTAATAGATAATTCGATTAAATTCATTTTTAAACGTTATAACGTTGTATAATATATATTTCGATTCGAACAAATATATATAATATGTTTTAATATTATTTTTAATTTATACAATATACATGTGTGTATATATACAAAAGTAATATCTCTATTTTAAGTATAATTATAATAATTAGATAAAATGTCTTATTTAATTACAATCGTAAAAGATAATACGATTAATTTCATTTTTAAACAATATTACGTGTTATAATATATTTCGATTCGAACAAAGATATATAATATATGTTTTAATATTATTTTCAATGTATATACATTTACAAAAAGTAATATACTTTTATTGATATTATAAATAATAAGAAGATTTCTTTGTCTCGTGTTTGACAACGTTATTTGTCGAAAATTTTAAACAAAAAAACCGATATAAATCGTGTAATTATATAATTTAACGAAAAAAAACAAAACAAAAGAAACAAATATAGATCTAAATGTTTAATTACTTATATTTATTACTACCTGTATAAAAAAGATAATGCGAAAAAAGAAAAAAAAGAACAAAAGAAGGATAATCGACAAATCAAACGATTTAATTGTCCTTTGTAAATGTCTTACGTCATTTTTCTTATGTACTTGTGTTACATCAGACTTGTTTTTTTGTTGTTTCATATCGCATATTATATTGAAATTAATTCCGATCGAATCTTTATAATGAAATTTTTTTTTCATCATTTTATTATCATTATAAAAAGGTCGAAAGGAAATACTTCATGGGATTAATGGTAGGCTCAATGCTAAACAATTGATTGCATTAATGGGACCCTCGGGTGCTGGAAAATCATCATTACTCGACGTTCTATCTGGTTTTCGAGAAACCGGTGTTGACGGGGTCATTTATGTCAATGGACGAATCAGAGAACTTCGTTCTTTTTCAAGGTGAAACAATGATTCATATTTAATGAAATCGTTGAAAATAATAATCAATTAAAATTAATCAACGTAAAGTATTTTTTCTTTTGTATGAATCTTCATTTGATTTTATACAATTTGTTTGTTTATATAAACAATCAGATATTCGGCCTACATAACTCAAAATGATTGTTTGGAACCATTGTTAACGGTTTTGGAAAGCATGAGAGTAGCTGCTGATCTTAAATTGCCAATTAATACGCCTAAGTATCAAAAGGAGACTATAGTAAGTGTTGGTTTATTGTTCACATTTATTTATTCGTATTATTTGATTTAATTTATAAGAAAAATGATTTTTTATTAATTTAACGATCGAATGAACCGTTTTAAATAAAACAAAAAAAATAAAACACATATGTGTGTGTATATATATATATCTTAAAACTTTTGCACTTCTACGTCGAGTGTGACTCGACATGAATTTTTATCTCAAGTGATATCATCGTACACTTGATAAATACAAAATACAACAATAGTGTAAATAAAACGGATATTCGATTTGAAATTTTTCTCTTGCTCTTCCTTTTACATTTCATTTATATTGTTTTTATTTTTTTTCTCTCTCGATCGAATATTTAAAAAGAAAAGCGTTGAAATAAGATTTGATGCCAATTGAAATAATGGAATAATATATTTTTTTGTTTATTTATAAACGAATAATATATACATTTTATACATTTTTAAATATTATAGGATTCATACAAATTATATTCTATTTTTATATATTACATGGTTACCATTAGTTTAACAAATTTTTAAAAATATTTATATAGGTTATACAGGTTATACAAGGAAATTGAAGAATATCAAGATTCACAAGATTCGTTTGTTGGTACATGTCCGAAATATTAATGTACAAAAATTAACTTAAATATTTTTGATCTTTCATCTAAATATTTGACATTAATTAAAATTTCACCATATGAATCTTAACATTCTCTAATTTCGGTTATTAACGGTAACACATTATAAATATATTTCTTGAAAATTATTTTTCCAATTTTCCTACGAATAAAAAATCTCACTAAGAAAACATTTGGCACAAATTCGGTAACAAAATGGTACCCTAATTAAATCAGTTTGCTTAATCATATTATATTTTGTTAACATTTTTTTTACACAATAAGTTTTTATTCAAATCGACTGATTTACGAATAATAATTAAACAATTGTTGTAAAATTATCGTGAAAAAAGAAATTGCAAATTAATGAAATTCTTAGATAGAAGAAATACTCACGACGTTGGGATTGTACGAGCATATAAACACGAGAACGGGACAATTGAGCGGTGGACAAAAGAAAAGATTGTCCGTGGCTTTGGAATTGGTTAATAATCCTACCGTTATGTTTTTGGATGAGCCAACAACGTAAGCGAACAATTATTATCAACGATTATTTATTTATAACATTAAGAAAAAAAGAAACAGAAAAAACAGAACAAATCTGTCGGATCGAAACGGAGTGGATCGATTGACAAATTATTATTATTATTATTATTATTATTATTTTTTCAGAGGATTAGACAGTTCGTCGTGTATGCAAGTTATAAAATTGTTGAAACTTCTTGCCAAACAAGGAAGAACAATAATCTGTACGATTCATCAGCCCAGTGCGTCCATATTTAAAATCTTTGATCACGTAAGAAAAAAAGACAATTGTTTATTCCTCTTTTTTTAATGCAAATAATGCAATGTAAAAGATTTCCAAATGGTGTTATGACCTACCTAAACGGGTTGAGTCAATGTTTTCGAATTGATGATAGAAAATATTTTTTGTGCACAATTTTTTCGGCTAATTAGATAATAAAAATTAACATAAAATAACATAACATTAAATAAATAAAATTTCCATAAATAGGACAGATGTCCTGATTATGGAAAGAAAAAAAAATGGGGGCAGGGGAGAGGGGGTACTTTCTGTAAAAAAATAATTCTTTTCAGTAACCGTAAATTGTAATTTGTCAAAAATAAATTTAACTTTTGTTAATATCGTCAAACAACGTGGGGGGTCACGACACCGTAAGGGTACATCATTTGTCAGAGTATTTGTTTCATTTAAACGAATCTAACAAATTTGTTGTTTTTTCTGTTGAATTTTTATTAAACAGATTTACGTACTGGGCAAAGGGAATTGTCTTTATCAAGGATCTACCGAGAAATTAATTCCGTATTTGGAATCAATGAATTTGCATTGCCCGATGTATCACAATCCTACGGATTATAGTAAATAATATTATTTATTTCTTTTTTTTATATATATTTTTAATGAATAAATTCTATAAACGGGGGATATATTCTAGTGTGTGTACAAACCGTTTGCGAGGTGTTGATTTTTAACAACAATTTATTTCTAATCTCAAATTTTCTGTTTAAACATTTTTTTATTGCAATTTAAAAATTAATTGTTTGTATTATGAGACACGCTAGAATAATCCCTTAAGTGAACAATTAGTATTAATAATTCATCGCGTAATTATCAAACAGTGATTGAATTGGCATGCGGCGAGTATGGCGACGATAAGCTAACGACATTGATAAACAATTCGGATAATGGCCGAAATCTGCAATGGTTCGAAGATTATAAGTCATTGAAAGATGCGAAAACATTAAGAGGTGAGATATGTTTACGCACATTCCATAAATAATTACACACCTATACGGGGTTTAATTTATTTTACAACAACGAGTGAGACTCGTGGTAAGAAATTTCGGTCGTAAAACAATAAGTACGAGCTTGATTCGTGATACTTCGGATCAATAGGAATCAACACGAGTCATAGACGTGGTTCAATTGTTCTCGATATTTGTACAGAATAAATGGAAAACATTATAAAGATGATGACTGATATATATATTTGTTTAATTATAATAATAATTAACGTAAATATATAATTATAATATGATTTGAACGTTTTTAGCACTGAATCCATTAAAGGAAATGAAAAGGATAGACAAGACTTTCGAATCTCAGGTTACACCGTTAAACAATCAAATCTATACTTTATTGAAAAGAGGAATATTAATGTACAAAAGAGACGTGGTAAATATTTCAATTGATATTATATTTTTTTTATAATTTTCTAATATATTTTATAAATAATCGATCAATATATATATAATATGTTACCGTCAAAGCCGAAAATCAGTCATTGCTAGTAATTCCTCGGCATTACTATGAATGCAAAGAACCTTTCAGACGAAGTCAGAGATTGAAAAATTCTTCCACTTTTTCCTAGGCATCGAACATAATACTTTGATATTCTATAGAATATCAAATTACTATTTAAACAACGTTGAAAAGAATACATTCTCAGACACAGACACACGCAGCCATACGATCAAACAATATCAGAGATTGCAATGCTGTAAATTGTGCAT